CCTCAGGAAAATAAAATTGCTTTTAAAAGTCACTTGTTTGAGTTACTTCCTCTGGTTTTGATGAAGGTTGCAACCATTTTTTAATCAAATAAACACCTACTCCCTCTGCCTACCTCTGGACACCGCCATCTCCCGTCTTCCTTTTACATGATTTTTCCCATCTCAGTTGACTTAGCTGTTCTCTCCTCCTGGAACATGTTTTCCTTCACTGTTTCCATTGCTGGCTTTTCCTTATCGTTCAGGGTATAGCTTAAATATCACCTTCTCTCAACTTCGTATGTAAAGTTGATATCCTCTGATGGTTTATCTCCTAGCACCTGTTATTTATTACTTCTTAAAATTTATTTCATGGCACTTATTCTATCTGTAATCATTCTTTTTGTTTATTTACATATGCTCTACCTCTCACAATACAAGTTCCCAAGGACAGGGAACTTGTATGTTGGTCACCAATGTCTATTCAGACCCTGTCACCCACTTTCAGATCCTGATGTCAATTCTCACTTCATTATGTACTCCCAGTGCCCTCCCAATTCCATGTGTATTCTTATCAACTCAGCTACTTATAACTTTCCCCTCCCAGTGGACTCTGTTTTAACTCTCTACCCTGCCTTCTAAGTCTCCTGTCTTCCTGGGAGCTGCCCCCTGCATATGCCCTGCACCCCAGAAGCCATACTACTAGAAATGAAGGAGTAATGGTCAAAGTTGCTTAAAATCTTCTGAATTTGAATAACGTTCAGTGGCCAAGCTTTGCTACAGAGTCGATCCAATCAATGTAGATTTTTTAAAAATCTAGTAATCAATTGAATGCATTTGTTCTCCAAATATGTTCTGAGTACAGGTAAACAACAGTGCTGTTGCTTCAGCCCAGCACTCACCCTTCTTCTGGGTGCCACCCCTGCCTCTGTTTCTTTTGTTCCTCCTCTCCCACACCATCTACAGAGTGTAGCAGAAACTGCCATTTGACGATGGGACCCTTCGTTTGATCCGTTGGCAGCTGGCCAACGCTAGGCCCGTCATCCATAGGACACCGCACATCACTGGTCACCATGAATTACTAGTCTAGGGAATGGGTGGCTGATTCAAGCTCGGCTGATGATTCCCTTTCTTGAAATTTTGGGAGAATGGCTCTGAGTGCCTGGACGATAAGATGCAAAACTCAGAAGCTCGAGTGGCTGTTTCCTACCACGTGGGCCAGAGCAGCTGAAGAGACCAGGCTGGAGAGAGAGCAGAAGGGCAGTTGGGAGGAGAGGAGCTGAGCTGAGGGGAGAGCCTCAGAGAGTGTTTGGGTTCCTGTATCAGCTTCTCCCAAGATTCAGGACTGTTCCTGCCTGGGGTGTTTAAGGTGGCTTGTAGGGGTGGAAAAATTTCCCCTCTGCCTTTCCTGTTTCTTTGGCTGTTCTAATACATTGACATGAGATGGATTAATAGGAGAAAAACGAAGGTAATTTCATACATATTGGAGCCCCATAAAAATATGAGACTCTAAAAGAAATAGCCAAGGCAGGAAGCTTTTACACCTTTTAGACAAAGTAACAATACATTTAGAATTGACGACATGAATTGAACATGAAGAATTGACATGACAGAAGTCTTTGGGGTTGGGGTAGTAGACGGGTAAAGAAGTAACAAGGTTTGTTTATACAGCCTTCTCTGCACTGAGTTCCCTGTCTCTGGTGATAAGGATGCCTTCTGCCCCTCCTGGGACAGGGAAGGTACCTTTCACAGGGGAGATTTATTTCCTGCTTCGGGGGACAAAGGAGGGTCAGAGGGTCCTTCTCGCACCAGCTGTTTCTCAAGTACCTTTAATTCAAAATAATCAACATGCCAAAGTGACATATTTGCGGGTGACATATTCTGAACCCATACAGGCTCAACTTGGGCTTCTGTCACCTGCAGCCCAAAGAGTCCTAATAAATCCACACCAGCTCTCATACCTTCCTTCCCACCCTCGGTGAGCAGCCATCTTTCTCAAAGTGGGGTTACTGGAGCTTAGAGGGGCCTCATAAAGAGCCCCATTAGCTTTATTCATCTCTTAGAGTAGGGTAAGGGGCAGAGGGCACAGACCAGTCCTCCTTCACTGTTATTGATTTATCTCACACCATGGACCACAGGATGCTGCCTTGCTTACTGCTCTGCCCCAAGCACGGTGCCTGGCAAGCAGTAGACACTCACTAGATCTCTGCTGAATGGGTCAATCCACACGAAAAGCTGGACTCAGCTAAGCTAAAGAAGGCGCGTGAGGCTGGGGCCCAACGCTGGGTTTTCCAGAGGTTACAGTGTTTGGTTTGCAGGGCATTTTCTCCAGGGATATGCTGAAGTGTCTTCCTTGAGGTTAGGGGTGTGTTACCTGGAGAGGTTTAGTTTTTCCTTTTGCTGTGTTTTGTTTCTAATAAAGGCTGGATCTTCCTTTAGCAGACATGTTGTTAGGAAAAGTCGAAAACTGAGGGAGGAGTTGTATAGGATGTCTTTTTAAGGTCTCTTATAATGTTAAATTCCCTGTGGCTATCATTTTGTGTCTGAAAGAGGTATTAACAGATAAATTTGGGCTCAGAAGTGCTCCCTTTTGGAGCTGGTATTCTGTAGTGGAAAGCGCTGGGCTGTAGTTTCTAGCCTGTTTTGTGTCCTTGAGCAAGTTGATGAATCTCTCCAGATTCTGGTATCTTTTCTCCTCTGATCAACCTCCATACCTTCTTCCTTGGTCTCCTCAGGTAACCACCATCCTAAATGTGATCTTTATCACCACATTCCTGTGCATGTCTCTGTAATTTTTTAACACTTACGTATATTCCTTTTTCATATTTTTAGCCTTACATAAAAGGTGTCTATCTGTATATACCCTTTTGCAAACTTACTTTTTCACTTAACATTAGGTTTTTGAGATTTATTTATATTGCTACATATAGCTTGATTTCATTCACCTAAGAGCCGTGTAATATTTCATTATGTGAATCTGCTGCAGTTCATTTGTCCATTCTTCAACTGATGTACATTAAAGTTGCTTCTAATTTTTTGCTATCACTCACAACCCTGTTGAGAACATTCCTGTATAATACCATTGTTCACATATTTGAGAATTTCTATACGGTCAAATTTCATGTTTTCCAAAATCACATCATCTTCAAGATTCTATGCCTTTGTATTATATCTTCTCCTCTGCTTTCACAAATCAAAATGAGGACTTCTTAAAACACTGCAAATGTTTAATGATAATCCTTATAAAATGGATACAGAAATATTTATTTGGACACACAGGTTTCCATTCAGAATTATGAATGGAAGGATACAAATATAAGGCACAGAACCGGCACTCACAGTGCTGCCTGTGTTCTTGGTATGCCATCAGAGTGGTTAACAGTTCATTGAGAATCAATTAAAATAACTACCGGTCATTAGTGTGGACTTGGAGTATGAGTGCAAAGATCTCACTCACTAAATCATTCACGGTGACAGGAAAGTTTTAGCTCCTGTTAGGGAGTGTTGGTTCAGAATGTAATACCACCTAGTCCAAACTCTCTAATTTTCCTCATAAAAATAAACTTCAGATACCAAAGCATCATTTAGTCCTAGCCTCCTTCTTTTACAGAGAAGCAACCAAAAGGCTTAAATTTGCATAGCCAGGAAGTAACAAAACGGGCACTAAAACACGATTCCTGATAACTGCCTATTTCCCCCTCAATACTCTTCTCCTGCCCCTTGAGGTACAAGAGGATTGAAGACACTTTGCATTTTTGGTTTGTTTCCTAAAGCGGTTTGAACATAGCCATTCTCAAACCCGGTCTAGAAGTCTAGCAACCAGATGCATCACCAGGAGCAAGGATATAGTTTCTGTTCTCCAGTTGAAAAATCTGCACAAAGGAGAGCTTACTGTTGTAACAGCCCCAGACTTCAAAAGAAAGTTCAACAGTACAGAACCAATGTCTTTGGGAACATACCTTTCAAGAAGAAATCAAGCCACTAAGAGGGTTGGTGGGAAATTTCATGGTATCCAGGTCATTACAGATTAAAGGGGAGTAAAATATGAAAAGAAAACATGGATTGTTTTCAAATAAAAGAGGAACCTTATTTTTCACCAAGTGTTCTCTCTGTTATGTTTCCCTGAGTCACAGATTGCCAAAAGTTATATTGAGTTTTATGTAGAGGATTGAAAGTAAATGTTTTTGTGCTAATCCAACAGGCAGAATTCACCACTAGTCCCCCCTTACTATTCTCAAGCTTTTATCTCCATCTCCCGTGGCGTAACTCAGCCTGGGTTGTAAACATTGGCTTTCATGCCTGTCTCCCCAGCTGGCAGCCCACTGAGGGTCAGGACCACCTTGCCTGGAACACAGGACAACCCCCAGTAAAGAGCTCGATGGGAAGAAATGGGAAAGAGATTCCAGAGACAGAGAGCAGTTCATCGTTTCTGCAGGGCTCACAATGTATCAGCCAATCTTCAGTGTGGTCACAACCTTCTAGGTGTGTTTGTGAGCTTGGTAGCTCTAGATATTCCATTGGGCCTCTTGTGAAGAATTAAACAACTGTTGTCTAACTTTTGTTACACAGTCACATTGGTATATATGTATAACCCGGAAATGGTTTAATTAATGATTATCATATGAATGGAGCTGTACCTTCCCAATAGTTAGAGTGACTATAGCCACTGGCCAGTCTCCCCCACTTTCCTAGGCTCAAGGTGTTGGGAAAAAACTGTACTCTTCTTGGCGTGGTTTAATCAATTTGGAATATTCTTGTGGGGATGTTTTGTTCAAGTCATGAAGCCTCGTAAACTAACTGTTTAGCAAAATATTACATTTTATGATGTCATCCCTTCAAGATCAGCCTGGCTGTCTGTTTTTATATCTGGCAACTGTAGACTGTGATAGAAAATTCCAGGAGACAGATTGGTAGAGGATAAACTGACGGCTCTTCATGTTGCCTGGCAATCCCGTGTTCCCTAGCGAGCTGTTTCTCTCCTGTTTTCCAGAGAAGCAGTTTCTGACATGTTACTTTCTCCTCAGCACTCCAGGCACATGTGCTCCCCCGGTGTCTCTCTGCAGATCCCCTCTCCTCCTACTTCACAGAAAAGAGATGAACATCAGAGAAAACTCTCGGAACTTCCTTCTAACAACATACAGACGGATCAACTTCCACCCCGTCTCCGGCTCTCCTCTCAGCTTCTTCCACCTCCCCCTCTCCTCCCATTCATGTTCTGTCTCCCGAAGGGTCTATTTCCTCAGTGATCTTGCCCATTTCTTCTCTTCTCCTATATTTTCATCTTTTCTCTGTCACTTCCTTGTATCTGTATCTATGCATGAGCTATACATGGTCCCCACAGACCTCACTGATCTAAAAATAACCTAACTCACATATCCAGTTCTTTCGACCATATTTTTCCTCCTCCCCCAATTTATCCCTTTCCTCCCCTTGCTCTTCTTAAAAGACTTTTGTGTAATCACTGTCTCCACGTTGTTATTCTCTACTCACCCTGCCCTTACATCGTGCCGTCTGCCCCCGTCAACCACTAGTCCTGTTTCCCCCAGCATCCTGCCTGCCCTCAAATCTAGCATGTCCTTCCCAGCCCCCATCTTAGATCGGTGCAGTTTTAGATACTAGTGGCCCTTCAATGCCACCTTCCCTTGGTGTCCCTGATGGCAGACTCTTCCACTTCTCCTACCCTTCTCTGGCTGTATTCTCAGTTCCTTCTTCAGACTACTGTGTTGCTTTTTCCATGCCTTAGATGTTGGTATTCTTCCAAGTTCTACCTTTGGGTTTCTTTTCTTCTCATCCTCATGCTCTCCCAGTGTAATGCCATCTGTAGAGCCCTGATGCCTCACACCATCTGCTTCCAGGGCATCTGTCCTTGACTGCCCCACAGATCCCTTCAACTCAGGAAGTACAATGCTAACCTCATCGTTTTTCTCCAAAGCCTGTCCCGTTTAGCTGTTGAGGCAGTGGCCCCACCTAAAGACCTTGCTGCCATCTGTGATGCCTCCATTTTCCTTTTCCCTCCTGCATAAATCTCTTCTTGGCCTCCAGTGGTTCTTGGGACAAACCTAGACTCCATAATTTGACTGTCAAGTCCCTTTATTATAAGACCTCTACTTAACTCTCCAGGCTCGTTTCTGTCCACACTGGTCATGTTGCCCTTACCCTTCAGCTGTGCTAAATTTCGCCTGGTTCCTTGAACCAGTCATCGGGCCTCTCAACCCTAGGCCTCCGCAGGTGCCTCTAGAAGCATTTCCTGTGTTGCCCCCCCCGCCGTCATGTGCTCCCTGTACTCGCTATGAAAGCACTGATGATGGTGAATTTGGAGTGTTTGTTAAAATCACGCCCATCACCTTCAACCCACCAGGTCATCAGATTTGTGAGGGTGGCACTAAACAGGCCATTTCACGGTCGTGTCCCCTGCACCTGGCACATGCTTCCCTTGGCCGTGACAGGTAGGATTTTGCCATATTTTTTGCAAATACTGAGTTAGAAATCTTTGGAAAAAATACAGGTATATGCCTTCTTGCTTAGGTACATATATGTCAGCCTCCCAACTTGCATAACCATGAAAATGATGTTTTCTCGCTCTGTGAGAATCCGTCATCTGACTGCATGGAAAGAACAGTGTTCTCTATCATGGAGACATACTTCTGTAAAACTTCTTTTTTATCATGCAGTATTTTAGTGATAATCTAGTTAAATTTTAGTGTATTGTAATTTTTTGGTTTTTCTCAACGATAAAAAAATTTACTTTATAGGTTAGTTATTAAATTTCTATCCTTTTACTCAGAACTCTTACTTCTCTTATTTTCTCAATCTTACCCTTCTGAAATTTCTTTGTTTTCCAGAACATTTTAAACTCACTTGGGGGGTACTTCCCTGGTGGTCCAGTGGTTAAGACTTAACCTTCCAATGCACGGGCTGTGTGTTCGATCCCTGGTTGGGGAGCTAAGATCCCACATGCCTTGCGGCCAAAAAACCAAAACACAGAACAGAAGCAATATTGTAACAAATTCAATAAAGACTTTAAAAATGGTCCACATCAAAAACATAAATAAATAAATAAACTCACTTAGGTAGTCCATATGTGTGTGGCCCTCAGTGCAAAATTATTGTCCAGTGTTAGTGTGATTTTTAAAAGCCAATAAAGAAGAATGCAGGGGCAGAGTTGACACCAGTGACATTGACAGCCATCATCTTGGGAAGTTTCCCATTTGTTTGGACCCATCTCAGAGAAAAAACAAAATACATCCTGCCCAGATGCCATTTTCTTCTTTGCAGATGACATTTAACTGTTATGTGGGTGGCAGCTGGCTACATATTTAGTAAAGATTCTTGATGGAGAGAGAATTTTCCTCATTATTTTTTTTAAAACTGAGAAGGCCAGAAATTGACATCAAAAATGGTTCAGATCTAATCAGAGTAGAAACAATAACAGAGGTGAAATGTCCAGCTTTCCGTGCTGTGCCCGAGCACTGAACACAGTACTTGTGTAACATACTCTTAATAAAAACATCACAGTGATAAATGTAGAATTCCAGAATGCTTACCATGTGCTGTATGGGTAAAGTAACAATTAATAGTTGTTTGCAAATGAAAAGCAATTAGACATGAATATTTATCTATTTCATGGTCCTAGGAACAGCTTTCAAATTACTTTTATAACCAATTTATTACAAATTATTAGCTCATATAAACCAGGCTCACACAACTTTGCATTTCTTGTAATATGAAATACTGCTTTAAGATATGAATGATTTTTATCGTAAGATAGTCTCTATGGTTTCTACATGACCCATCACAAAATAATTAGCTAAGAAAGGTATATTTATTAATATTAAGAAACTCTACTTTTAAACTTTCAAAATTCAGTTTTTAAATGCTCTTCAGATGCATAAAGCCAAAGGATATCTAGTAGAAGGAGAAAAGAAGAGGGGCAGCCAGCGCTCACACACTCAATAAACCAATGGAGGTTTTACTAAGCCTTCTTTTAAGTTTGCTCAGGAGAGAGATAAATCCATAAAGCAGTCAGGCTGCTCGTGATCATGTTGCCAGAAATACACTATAAACAATGGAACTGCCGTCAAAATTTGGACTCAGAATTTTATGATTGACATTAAGGGTCAGTGCCTGTATTTTAGATCCATTCCCAGAAGCAATTTAATAATCAGCAGAAATCAGAAGTCCATTCACTGAACCACTGGCAGAAAATTAGGTAGAGACTCCCAGTCTCCTTTGAATCAAAGGTATGTCCGATAACCCAAAGCTAGGGAAAAAGACGTAACTGCAACCTGAAATCCCATATCCAAAAAGCGAGATGCTCTGTTTTTGGTAGTGCTGTGAAGAGTTATGAGTAATCTAGAATAGATGGGAAAAATCACAAAATGCCCTTCAATGGAAAACTGGGAGTAAAGGAAAAAAATTAATAGGTTTTAATTCTGTTTCTCATTCTTCTGAAATATTTTTTACATCAACTAGATTGAGCTTGTAATGGCAGGTGTCCGTTTGAAAAACTCTGAACAAATTCAAATCCTACTAAGGCAATACCCAGTGAAATTTAAATGGCATAAGTCTTGTGTATTTCACAGGAACAGGCAGGCAGCTTTTCTTCCTCTGTATCTCCTACATTTAAATTCCATGCTCTCTGTTTACAATTGGCAAGAGTCAGGGGTTATCCTCGATTTCTGCCAAGATGCCAAGTAACTTGGCTGATGTTGGATTCCAGGAGGCAAAGAGCCTTCTTCCCCGAAGCAATTTCTGATTAAGAAGAAAATGAGATCTCAGGTGTAGTTTTAGCATCTGGAATTCTTAAATATTCATTTATTCAGTTTTGACTTTGGGATTTGGGTTGTTACATTTTTGGTGTGTCCCGTGAATAGCACTACTACGTGAATCATTATATCAACTTCAAACAATTGTGTTGCTGTTCCTTCCAGAAGGCTCCCTTGTAAGGTTCATATAACTTCATAAGGGCATCCGTCTGTGTCTGTATTCTCTGAATATTCATGAAAGTCATTGAAGGCCAAGGACTGCAGGGAGGAGGGAGGGTTACTGAGGGAGGGGGTTTGTGCAAACATGACAGGATGAGATTTCAGCTTCCTGGTCCAGTGTGAAATGCACAGACCGAAGGTTTCCTGGGGGGGATGGTGATGATTTGCAAAGAATAGCCTTGTGGCAAGGCTTTGGCTGTCTTGTCGGATCATGCTTGATGTCAGTGCATAAACATGGCCTCTTCTCTTGCCACAATATTTATGTCTGCTTTGGAGCAAGCTGCTCCCCAGCAATTCTGAGAACTAATAGGGTGTCCTGGAGAAATGAGTAAATCTTCCCTTGTTTTTGACATTTCTCCGCATTACCTCGTTGCCCTCCCCAGACTTCTCACCTCTTTCTTTCTGATTCTGTAGGATTTAACTAAACCGAGGACACGATACTCTATCTTTATGGCATGAAGGACTATCTTTTTTTACAAATGTAAATTTCTATTAAAAAAAAACACATAATTCCAAAAGATTCATTAAGGTGCCACTGAATACTACGGCCTTTTACCAGGTGACTATGCATTAGGGAAAAGGAAATGATCAGTCTTTTCAGGAATTACTGGACACTGGCCCTGAATTGACACTAATTTCAGGAGACCCAAAACATCATTGTCAGACTAGGGACTTGTGGGGGTGGTGATCAGCTCAGATGCACCTCACAGTGCATGGGTCATCCCCAAACCCATCCTGTGGTCATTTCCCGAATTGTAAGATGCATAGGTGGAATAGACATACTCAGTACCTGGCAGAATTGCGTTAGAGATCCTGAGAAATATGTCTATTGGAAGAACACTGTCTGATCTGTGTGTTATTTCCTAATAGATGTATATTTTAGGGAAGGAAATAATCACTGATTAGCACCGAGGGAGCTCCCGCTGAGTAGCTGTGTGGCCTTGACTGAGGCCCTCAGCCCACCCAAATATGTCTCCTGACCTAAAACACAAGGAAGTGATAATAGTCGTTTTCAGCTCTAAAATGCTGATATTTTTATTTGCTTACAACTCTCTTCTTCCAGCATTTTTTCCTTTGAGTAGTCACACTGGAGATGTATTGGGTTCATATCTATTTCTTTTGTATTATGACCAAATAAAGATAGCTTGGCACTCCTGCACATTTTTAGTGGTAGATCGTGCAATAAACGCTGTTTTCCTACATTCTTTTGCTTCCACATGCGTCAAATTTGCCTTTTTCCTCTTCTCTCTTGCAGCCCCACCTCCTCATTTTGGAGTTCTGGCTAGTTTGACATGAAAAATGTGCATTACGAAGCCTAATGGATAATTACATCAAGGAGGGAGGGAATGATCTAAATTTCAAAATCAGAATAATCACCTAAGTCTTAACTGTAACTAGCATAATATAATTACTTTTTTTCTTCAACTTTTTTTTTATTGTTCTGCATATACAAGGATGATTTTTCATTAACTTTTAATGCTGTTTGTAACTCCATTCCAGTGTATTCGATGTAGCTTTGAATAGAAGAGTTCTACTCAAAATAGAACACAATGTTGCTAAGCTTTACCGTAAGACACAGACTGCTAAGGAAGCTGTAGGAACAGCATTTTTATTGAGGTTGTTTTGTTTAAGGGAAGGGACAAGCCCACTCATACCTGAGATCATATCTCAGCAATAGCAAAATTTTTGAGCAGTGCAGGGTAGTAAATACAGCTTTAAACTTTTAAATTTACCTGAATCACTCATTGTAAGTATGTTTGCTCTTCAGTAATTGTAAAACCTGGAGAGCTTGAAAAGTGACAATCCTGCCTTCACGTCCTATCTACGCTTCTGCTCTTACTTCTCTGGGTTGTTAGCTGGAGATAACCTTAGCTTTTCTCATCAAACACAACTTCACAGGACTTTGGAATAAGCCATATTGACTACAAATATGGCAGAAAAACACCCAAAGGTACTATGCAGAACGCTGGGTTTTAAGTGACAGAAATCCATCTCCATGTAGGTTAAATCAATAGATAAATAGGTAGATATATTCCTTAGTCTCTGCCCAGGCCCTGGGAAGTCCACAGTGGTGTCAGAACTATAGCAGGGTCCAGAGTTCCAGCAGTTTCATCATGAGGACTCCCTCCATCTCTGGCTTCCTCTCTTGGTTTTGCTTTTTTCGGGACAGTGGCTTCCTCAGCGGGTGCCTGCATTTGGTGGCAAAGATGCCCATGGGAAATTCCAGACTTTTATCATCTTGATTGATAGCAATTACAAAGAAGAGGCCCCTTCCTCCCCTGGTGCTTATGTCAGTTACTGAAAATGGACCCTGATCCACCCTGCAGGGGTCTTCTGCTACAGTTACTGTCCTCGTGGAAATAAATATTCTGACCAGCCAACCTGACCTTCCCCTGTCTCACAGAACGTATGGTCTGACAATTGACAGCTTTGTGCCAATCAAGGAGGTGGGGTGGTGCAGGTAATACTGCAGAAGAAGCCATGAGGACAGGTTTTAAAACTGTAGCTGATATTCATGCTACCACATTCAACTCTGCAGCAGTGGAGTTACCCAGCTCCTAAAGGGGCTCACAAAGTGACCTCTAGAGATGACTCAATGGAAGTCCTCCTGTCTATGGGACAAACCTGAGTTGTGAAAGTCCATAGAACTGGCATTTCCTTCAGTGATTGTCTTTCTTATCCAAATATGTTACATGAAGTCAGGATTCTCTACCTCTTTTTATACTCACAACAACCCCATAAGATAGGTACCATTATGATTCTCAGTTTGCAGTTGAGGAAACAGTCACAGAGAGGGTAGGTAACACACAGCTAGTAGTGTAACAGGGTTGCTCAAGCCTTTTTTCAATCATAATCACCTGAGAAGCTTTTTTTTTTAATGTGGATTACCTGGGTCTCAC